TCTCTCTCTCTCTCTCTCGCTCGCTCGCGCACTCTCTCTCTCGCGTGTTCTCTCTCTCTCACACACACACACGATGCACAAAACTCCGCATTTGAACAGTCAATAGCAAATACTTAAACTAATAAGAAAACAGTATCTGATTCAGAAGCGCCAGATTGTCATAGCAAAGTCAGAATTACCTCCTCTCCTAGGTTCACGAAACGGTCGTCCATAAACTGCATTGCTATTCTGTTGTAAGTAATCTTAAAGATTCTTAAATTCATCTACTTCCGGAAGGCCAAATAAAGTGCTTTTGCTTTCGCCTAGAAACACACAGCGTCTCCCTGACATGGCTGCTTCAACACTAACTGCTGTTTCTGAAACCACGCCTTCTTTCTTTGCGTGCACATTTGGGCCACATTATGCTAATATTTCCACATAGTGAGGTAGATATGTGGGGGCGTGTTAGAACGAGCCGTTTCAAGGGGCGTGGCAGAGTCTTAACTTTGATAAAGAATATCTCTTTGGTTTTGAGACTTTAGTCTTTGCAACTTCAGGGATCTTATCTATGCACAATCAGCTTGTAACACTCCAAAGAGAAAGGAAAACTTGAAATCGCATTATATGACCCCTTTAATGAAAAAGTCTGTGAAAGTGATTTTGTGCCTCTTTGAGATGGCACAATAATACGGCGTTCACTTGCAGAACGCAAGCTTCTAGAGGGCACATAACTCTGAAGTAATGAATTTAGGTAAATGGGTGCAGTGCCAGTGGTGGTTTTGTACTCAAACATTAATGCCTTGAAATTAATGTTAATTTAATTAATGTTATAATTTCTAATGTTAATTTTTAATTTCTGTTAAATATTTAACAGAAATTATTAAAGATTAAACTTTGTCAAAACTTGCATATTACTGGATTTGCAAAGCTGTTTAAAGGAAAGTATAACTTTACTCAAAGAAGGTTAAACAGTAAAATTTTCTCAATTTGGTTAAGCTCAGTCATCAGTATTTGTGTATCAGTATCAGTATAAATATGTTTATTTATTTTATATTTATTTAGCGTTGTCACAGATTGGTCCCATTCACTTTCATTGTAAGGGCCTCATCGTAATCTCGAAAATATTAGAATATTCTCTCAAAAACAGCCACAAAATGTAAAAAAATATGTTCGCATGATTGTAGCATGAAAATAATACATTTTAACCTTTTCTGTAATGATATGTGTAACGAATCAGCTCATGAGGAAATATGAATAATTAATCATAACTAGTTATAATTAATTATGAATATTTAGATCCGCTGTAGATATTTAGCTGACCTCTCAGGGCAACTGTCTTGTCAATTCTAAGAACGTTAATTCCCTGGTTAAGGGAAATAACTTTCTTACTGTACAATTCTACAAAAGCTTGTAGAATAAATCTGCATGATTAGGGACTCCAGTTATGAGCAAACAATGAACAACGTCAAGTGTGATACAAGTAAGGTTTTATTAACTACATAAACACTTAAACTAGTCTAACATACTACATAAACACTTAAAACTGGTCTAACACACACATTCACACACACACACACACAATTTGTATAGGAAAGGGTTAAAGCATAACTCAATACAGAGAAGAGGCATAAGGAATGAAATTCATGGAACTATTTGCATATTCAGCAGATCTACACCTGCGGGAAACGTCAGATTCTTAGTTCAAACACACCTTGGTAAAAAGGTGCAACTGATACCTACTGTATCAATTAATAAGACTAAGTTTGATACTTGCAAGTCTCGCCTTGGGGATTTTCCTTATGAAAAGACAGTGCTTTTCCCTGCTCACATTCCATGAGGTCGTAAAAGTATCTGGTGTCAGGGTTGCCATGGTTTGGTGTCATTTGCAGACATCCTGGCATCCAGTTTATGGGGTGAGGGGACTGTGGCGATTTGTTAATCTAATGAAGAACTGATTTGTTAAATCAAATGAAAAATTGTGTGTTTGATTGGTCCAGACGCTACATATGCCTGATATACTATGTTGCCATGACAGCGTAAAATATAAAACATCTGTAAAAGTTTTTAAAAATAAATTAAGTTTCACATTTCTGCTTTTAAATCCTCAATATTGTACTGTATTGTACAATCAAATTGTACCATTGTACTGTAAGGGCCTCACTTTAACCTCGAAAACAAATATTTTTTTGTGGTAATCAACATTATGCCACAAATGCTGTTGACTGAGTGTAACTCTTGCTGAACCCACGATATTCCTTTAAGTCAGGGTCAAACCTAGAGAGAAAAACAGCCGGGGTTATTAGTTTCACATGTACCAGGAGATCACGTCATAACAGGGTCAACAGGTTTGGAAGATGTAATGTAGATGGGCAGTCTGGCCTTTCTGTGACAGTATGAGATTTGTTATGTAATCGAAGAATGTACCGAACTCAAATAGTATATCGTGATATGTGATCATGTGATTTGCACTAGTTTGTACTGTTCACTGATATGCGTATTATAAACAGAAAACATCCTGCTAAGTCTACTTTTAGAAAGTCTAAGGAATCAGCATAATGCACAGCCAGTGCAAAAGGGTAAATAAGTGCACAATCATGCTGCTTTTATTCCACTGTTCTCTTTCTAAACTGTCATCAGCTCTAATCATCAGAGCCGTGTTGACAGGCGCTGCTCGTAAGTCTGTGTTCTGACCCTGGGAACAGTTTTCACAGTTGGGGGGTTGGGAGAACAGCACTGCTTTACAAGAGCTGGAAAAGGGAATGGGTCTCCTCCAAACTCTGATTCATGGCCACTCTCACACCTTACCAGCTGTGTCTGACATCTGTCCACATCATCATCCCCCCTCTGACCCTGTGCACACATAGTGGGCATATTGGAACAAGTATTCATTCGTTGTAGATATTGTATATCAAAGTGAAAGTATCCTGTATGATGTAATGTTATTTTAGTATTGTTTTGACAGCATAGCTTTTTTCTTCTTCTTACTATTAGGGTTGGTATAGCCAGTAAAATCAGATATGTTACATTTTTATGTTTTTATTTAGTTTTAAGTTCATAATATCGTAAGTGAACACAATAACACCTCACACACGCACACGCACACACACAGGTTTGTTTTTGTGAATTGTGGGGACATTGCGTAATGTTTTTTATACACTCTAAAAAATGCTGGGTTGTTTCAACCCAATTTTGGGTGAAATATGGACTAACCCAACTGTTGGGTTAAATTCTGGTAACATTTTTAAATGAACTTTTTAACCCAACAGTTGGGTTAGTCCATATTTCACCCAAAATTGGGTTGAAACAACCCAGCATTTTTTAGAGTGTACTGTACAAACCGTATTTTCTAGCGCCCTACACCAACCCTACACCTAAACCTACCCCTTACAGAAAACTTTCTGCATTTTCAAAAAAACTCATTCTGAGCACTCAAAATGTCCTCATAAATCACCTTCTCGTTGTAATACCTGTCATACCCATGTCATTATACAAATCTGTGTCCTCATAAATCACAAAAACGCGCGCACACTCACATACACACACACACAAAGTAGTATTTTGAATAGTTTTTAAAATATATTTTCAGTTTTATTTATATATTTTTTTATATAGGTTTAATTAGTACTTCAACTTATTTCAGTTAGTTGCTGTGGCAACATCTCTAATTTTCATTTTTAATTTAGTTTTTTTTAAGCTTACATTTTTATCTAATATTTATATTTTATTTCAGCTACCAAGAATTAATGTTAATCATTTTAGTTTTAACAATAACAATACAGAGGTTAAAATATTTTCATAATCTCTGTCTGACAACATTTTATTGAGCATCATACTAGTTACGCTCAATAGAATGTTGTCAGATAGAGATTCTTGAACACTTTTCTCATCTTTAATATTTTTTTGTTATTGTATCATGTCTACTGTAGACTTGATACACAAATGAATTTAACATCTAGTGTTTTGATTTGTCTGTCATCCGGAGAATTTGTATAACATTTTGTTTTATTTTACATCCTTTATGAATTACTTTATGTTTTCAGCACCTGCATTTGAAATAATTGAATTACTGAAATGATGTTTTGAATTATGTAATTGTTGCCCTCTGCTGGTGTGGAGTATGCACGTGCAAGTTAATTGACAAAACAAATCCATAGCATTTCAAGCTTTGTATTAACCACATACAGCTAGTAGACCACACAAAGATCACATGCCCAATTCCTCATACTTATGCTGTAAATCCATTTTGTATGCTTTGACAGGAAAGTACACAAGCATTGATGTATATCTCAACCTATTCAGCCATTTAATTTTGAGAAGTAGAAACTAGACAAATATGTTTCATGAAATATCACACAAGTTTATTTGTTTCAGATTTCTTGGGCAGTATTTAGGGTGTTAGTAATTCTCTGTAGTTATTGTGATGATGTACAGCCTTTTATACAGTCTGGTATAAAACACAAAAAATAACCCAAATATGATTTCTTTTTTAATGCAACATCTCACAGTGGCTGAGTCCAAAACCTCAGTTAGCTGCCTAATCAGTCTAAAACTTCATAGGCATAATGAAACTGCTTTCAGACACAAGATTATTTAATGCTTTTTTTCTTTTTCGAATAAGTCTTATGATCACCAACACCAAGGCTACATTTATTTGATAAAATACAGCAAAAACAGTAATATTGTGAAATATTATTGCAATTTAAAAGAACTGTTTTCTATTTTAATATATTTAAAATTTTTATATAATTTTATATTTGAATTTTCAGCAGCCGTTGCATGCCAGTCATCAATGCCACATGATCCTGCAAAGCATTTTTCAGGTTTCAGACACAGCCAATGTCTGAGTGTATTATCAGGACGGATCAGTTATGGGTAATGTGTAAAACAAACATGGATCAGCAATGAGGACTAGTTTAATTGAAGCCACTAAGGCCAATCATTTATCATAAATAGATTACAAAAAATGTTGCTAAGCTTTCCCCTTCATATATTTTGACACTTACAGTAAGGCAACCTCAAACCACTCTGCCATATCTAAGCTCCATTCAATGATTTTTGCCTTTAACAAAGAGCAAACATCACATTGACTGATTTTTGGCATTAACGATTGGTTTATAGATTAGCAACAGCACATTTGTTTTAACTCAAGTTCTGTCATGACTGAGTGTTTAAAAGAGGACTGTCACCTTGGCACACAGTTCAGACATCAAACCATCTGTACGTTCAAACACAAAGCAAAGAAGCCGGTTTGAAATGAGTCAACATAAGGAAAAGGATCTCCACAAGGGATTTTTATACAGTTTGGAAAAACATGTGCTTTGGAAAAAAAAGTCACTATAAGAAACAAAACTCAAGACTCTGCAGCTCTGATCATGAGTTGCTTAAGTGGCAAACAGATAAACAATCAACATATCGAATTGGTGAAACAAAGCTGAGCATAAACCATGACTTATGGTTAGTCCTGCTTGGTTAGCTGGTCAGGAAAATAAGCTGAATTAGTATATTAACTCACTGTTGTTGTAACACGGACATGGCTGAACTTCTTATCTGTTTGAGGGTAAGGTAAGGCATCTCCAATGTCTAATGTATATTCAGAAGGGTGTCTGTCACACTTCAGAAAACAGTCACGTTTTGACTCTAATCGAATGTGAATATTTTCATTGACTCACTAATTAAAATGCCCCATTTCTCTCATGCACAAGTGATAATGGCAGATAAATAAATTATTTAAGAGTAACGGCACTCTCCAGTTTCTGACATATGCATCATTCGCTCAATTTTGAGAAATTCTCACCAAAAAAATATGTGGTATAATGAGCTACACTATATATATATATATATATATATATATATAATGTACATTATCAGTACCATATCAGTTAGAAGCTGATATTAGAAATGTTTTAATTCATTAGTAGGCCGATACTGGTTATATAATTGTTCATGCTTTTATTTACACAATTTTTCCTTTTATATTACCTTTGCCATCACCAAACGCTCACTTAAAGTTTATCTTTAAAAAAAATAATAATTTAATAACATTGTTAAATGTAATCTTTAGCAAATCTCAAAATTAATATCCATTCTCACACTGTGCATTATAATTCACTTATATAAATATTCACTTGTAGCATTTAAAACGTTTATTTTGTTATTTCTTTTCAAAATAGTAAAAATTTGTAATATTGGCACATCCTGCACATTTTAACTGAACTATCAATCGTTGATAAGCAACAGATTTTTATTTTTTTTTCTTTGCAGGAAAACTTTTTGAGTGCTGTTACTCTTAAATAATGCCAAAGGATGTATTGCAATGCTGCAATGAATATCAGATTAAAGGTTTTCACACCTGAAATCTGAACGACAGAACATCAATATCAGAATATGATAAATGGTTTGGTCTCTACAGCCCTGTGCCAAATAGCACATTTGATGTGTACTGTACTTACAGTAAAGTCATCAAAACCGTATCGTGTCCCATTTGTCATTTTAGGTTTCAGAAACATACTCTATCCCTGTTGCAGAGTCCACCAGTTGGGACAGCTGAAAAAGCTTTTGTCGTGCAAGCAGATGAAATGTTCTTTAGGAGACGAACTTCGCAGAATTGAATTTCAGCACAGTGTTAGGACCTCAAATAACCTGCTAGTTTAGCCACTCACTAGCACAGTGGCCTGTCAGTAGACGCTGCTACAGAGGAGGTTCTCATTCATTTACTGATGTACTCACAAGGAGGGTGAAGGACAAGTTGGAAGGAGGGCCAATGCACAGTCTCTGGCTGCCTGTATCCAACTCCTTCCTGTTTCTGGCCAAGTCTGCGAGGGTAGACAGTGTCCTGATGGAGATATGGTCACGATTGTGGTTCTGGGCCATGTACATGTTGTCAGCCAACCGTTGTCATCGTCCTCTTCTTCATCAAGATCTCCTTTTCTCTCTAAGGTGTTTCTAGTGGAAATACTGTTTGGATAATAAGGTTTGGGCACAATAATCAGGTCACTGACACTGCAGTAACATGAACAACAAACTAAATATGCATTAGAGTTGTCATATACACTGCATAAACTACATTACATACATTATCAATGAACATTTTCTTTTCATAATTTATTTATGTCTTTTATGCTCACTAAGGCTACATTACTTAATCAAAAATACAGTAATATTGTGAAATATTATTACAAATTAAAATAATAGTTTCTATTTGAATATATTTAAAAAGTAATTTAATCCTGTGTTGGCAAACTCCAGTCTTCAGAGTCACATGATCCTTCAGAAATCCTTCTATTAAACTGATTTGGTGCTCAAGAAACATTGATTATCATTATCTATGTTGAATAATAATGCTGATTAATATTTTTGTGGAAAAGGTGATACATTTTTTGAAAGATAGAACGTAAAAGAACAGTATTAATTTGAAACAGAACTCTTTTGTAACATTAAAAACTATCTTAACTATCAATTTTGATCAATTTACTGCATCATTGCTGAAAAAAAGTATTAATTCCTTTAAAATAAAAATCTTACTGGCCCCAAACTATTAAACAGTAGTGTAAATTATATATATACATATATATATATATATATACACACACACACACACACATATATTTCACTTTTAAAAACATTATGGGCTGCTGAGCAAAAAACAATACATTTGAAATGTTCAGGTACTGAGACAGAGGTTGCATTTACCAAATTTATTTACCAATTATTCATCATTTTGGCAAATTTGAAAAACATTAACAATAACTCGAAATATTTTCCATGATTTCGGTTGAAAAACAGTTTGGTAGTCTATTTTCTGCAAGTTTTCTGAAATTTGTTCTTTCATTCAGCCATACAAAATAGCATCATTCACATGTAAAAGATCCAAAATATGCACCACTTTTCCTATTATGGGAAAGTTGGTAACACTTTATTTTAAGGACCAGTTCTCACTATTAACTTGTTGCTTATTAGCATGCATATTGCTAGCATATTGGCTGTTTATTAGCAGTTATAAAGCACATATTAATGTCTTTTTCTGTATGACCATTTTCTAGATCCCTTAATCCTATCTAATACCTAAACCTTACAACTTCCTTAGTATTACCAAGCAGCAAATATTTAGTTTATCGAGGGAAAACTCTTAGTTAATAGTGAATATGTGCTCCCTAATCAAAAGTGTTACCGAAAATTTTTATTATCATTTACTTGCAGAACTTTAAAAGAGAGTCATAATTTTATAATATAGGATACAGATTATGACATTACATCTTTAGTTTGAAATTAAGTCAAGATACAGTATATCTAACCTGCTGATGGATGTCCATGAGGCAGTCAAGCAGGAGGGGCTAGCAGTTCTGCACAGATGCACACACAGTAAAAGAGTTACAATAGACACTGTAGTGTTAATTTCATTAACGAAAACTATGACAAAAAATTTTCATTGATGGGCTTCTTTCCCATGACTGAAACAAGACAATGATGAGATGACAAGGTCAATAAATGATAACTGTGACTATATCAACATGCCATATGGTTGATGATAAAAGACACGACTAAAATGTATTTAAAAAAATAAAAACTATACGAAAATCTATTTTATTTTCATTGAAAAAAAAGGAGACAAAACATTATTGCGGATTGCTGTACGTGCCTCTACTAGGCGAGCGTTCATTTGTGCGGTTGCCAGATATGAAGAGTTCAAATACCCAAATCAGAGCTTCTCTGTTAAAAGGATACATTTTCTGCCTGGTGTTTTGCTTAATTTTTGCAATCTGGCAACCATGCGCATGCGCTCGTTTTTCATTGCGAAAGTGCTGACAATGATCTGAAAACACTGTCAAACAAGTAAGCTGAAGTTTAACAATCTCCATGTGAGATGTTCAGCTTAAATGAAAGTGTCATTCAGCCAGTCTGTGTTCTGTCATGAGATCTTGACTATTTTGTTTGCAATTGTGGTTGCTGAATAAATGCATTTAATCAAACACTGTTGTTTTAATAGAGAATCATTATTGCAATTTGGGATTATTGGAATTACTATTATGAATTTCACTGATTTCACATTCTGTTGGTTTGTGCTTACTGGTAAAAAGTGCAATACCTGAAATGTGAAAATATTTTCTTTATCAGTTTAACCATTATACAGCATGCTGAAAATGCTCAGACATTTAGGCCTGGTTTCACAGACTGGCCTTAGATTAAGCAAAGATTAAGTCATAGTTCAATTAGGACATATAAGTAGCTTTTATAAACATTACTGGTGTGCATATTTGACTAAAACTAAGATTAATTTAAAAGATTAAGACTAAATTTAAAATGGCTGACAAAATTAACACTAAGACAGACAGAAGTACAGAGCGGCAGAGTGTACACACTCGCCCAATACTTGACTAAAGAAGCTCAAGTCAAGTCAAGTCAAGTTGAGCTTTATTGTCATTCTGCTGCGTATGCATAATAAGTACACTGCTACTAATAGTAGCTATAACTTCACACTGAAGCAGATACAACACTACAATTCACTACGCATAGATTAGATTAGTAAAACTCACCGATGTGGATTTGTGGTCATTTGGTCGCTCAAGTTTAAAGCGGATGTCTGTACGGTTCTGCTCCTGGTTCTTTCCACCATCTGTTTTGCCAGGAGCTGGAAAAATAAGACCATGTAGTTAATGGAAAGCTACACTACTACACAAATATACCACTGTTTTATTTTTCTGACCATGATAAGTGTGTGAGTGAAACTATTTTGTACAGCTTGTTTCTCTCACCAGGAGAGCTCTCCCTGCTGGTTGTACCGGTAGTGCTCATGTTGTCCTCCAGCCATGTGCTGTATGTGAACGAGTCTCGTTTATGAGGAGTATCTGCTGACGACAGACTCTCCTGAATGGGACAAATACAACAAACTGCTCTAGCAGGCATACTGACAAAATATATGAAGTTTGTCTTAGTGTTTTTCTTTTCTTAAAGTGGTGGTCTCCACAAATACTTGCAATGACTGTGTAGTTTCTAGAGAAGTTCATTATTTGTAATGCATTAATGATAAGTGAGCTGTTCTCACCATGCCAGTGTCGTAGTCCTCTGTGGCCTCTGTTTCATTTTCCTCTACCACACTAGCAAAGCTACTGGCGTTAGATGAGGAGCGGGACAGATCATGAGCCTCAGGAATGGAGGGAGCCCGGCAGTACATGTTTGAGCTACACACACACACACACACACACACACACACACACACACGCACACATGTTCTTAATGCCTTCACCCGTAACGAGCATGAAACGCCTATAGTTCTTGTTGTCAGATCACTTGCATCCACCAAAACACACAGCAAGTGTTCAATAGCAAACCCTATCAAGCACCAAATGTGAGTAAAAACTGATTTTTGCAAGAAAATAAAACAAAATGACTCTCTTGCATGCAGGTAAATGCAGTGGGAACTGTAACACTAATAGGGTGTTTCACTAGTTCAGTTTGTCTAACAATGTCCAACAGTGGACATATTTTCAGCCTTTTTTCTCAAACATTTCCACCACATCTAAAATTATGGAAGTGATGGTAATGATATTTTATGCACCTAAAACTACATTTACATGATATTTTTCATGTTTTGCATATTTGAGAAAACTGGACAAAACACACTATAAAAAATGTACCTTATTCATTATCTCAAGGATGTTTTTCATTAACATGTTTGTCTCCTTGATAAGCAAGTACACTACCATTTGAAAAAAGCTTATGGGGCAAAATTGTTTGTCGTTGTGGAAATGGTCACAACTATTTTCAATATATGCCTATAACTATTTAATTTTATTAAATGTTCTCAATAAAATAATGATTTTCAAAAATAAATCATTGTGTACAAATCATTTCACATTCTCTTAATTCTTATTTTTTTAATACATTTTCATCGATTAAGATGGAAACTAAAGACAGAGAAAAATAAAACCATTAAAATACATCTGAAATATAGCAAAAATAAATAAAGTCATGGTAAATAAAAATTACAAAAGAATTTTGATCTTCATATAACAAAAAGTTGAAATCAACCCTTAAGACATAAAAATATGGTTTAAGGCAAATGCATAGTCTGATCCACACTGATATACGTGAACAAATCGAATCAATCATCACTCAGGTTAATGCTTTTCACTTTACCTGTTCTTAGTGATGAGGACCTCAGGAGAGCTCTGATTGGAGGAGTTTTCAGACTTGGGGTCCTGGGAGGCGTGGCCACTGTCAGGAGTCTTCTGTGTGCTGGGAGAGCACTCTCTACTGCTGCAGACACACACACTCACCATCAGAGGGCAGCATAAGCATTGTGTTTGCAACTCTACACGTCAAAGGTGAGGTGACGAGTCCAACTGCAGTCTACTCAGAGTTAGGTTAGGTTAGATGCGATACCACAGTACATGCCGATTCACATCACTACACTGAAACTCAGTTCAGAGCAACATCATTCAAAGGGCCTGTAAGTACTACAGCACATATGACAAAGGCCAGTTCATGCAAAATCAGTAAAACAGACATTACTGATTGGCTGAAAAATCAGTAAATCAGTTAGCATGTTGATTTTGCATGTGTGACCAGTTTAATAATGTGCTAAAGGCCATAATTCATAGCATTTCAGATGCATTTCTATGGCCAGGTAAGGTAAGCAGCTACTCTATGGTTAAAGAGGTGTCATTCTATGGTGGCAGTTATACTTGGAAGGATCCACGACGAGCCTCCCATTCTTGAGAGTGACGCTGGGTAGAGAAAGACAGAGCACTGTCCTGTCCTCTGACAACAGAGCAGCAATTCTTCACCAAACATATAAACACACACAAAAGGAGGGAGTTCAGTTGTAATATTATGCTTTATGTTCTGCCAATAAAGGCCTGTTCACAACAAGAACGATAACTTAAAGATAACTATAACGTTAACTATATTAGTGTCCACACACAATATTGTTCTGTTTATTATAAGCACAGGCTGCAATCATGCCATCCGCTGCTTTAAATAAACAAGCTCTTTAAAGCAAGTTGGATTCTGTTTTGAGTGTTGAATGTTTCTAGCGTTCATCAGCTGGAAAAAAATCGTTTTGAAAGTGACTCCAATAATATCATTCAACTGTGTCATTATCATTAGAGTTGTGGTGTGGACTCTGCTATTCTTTTAAATTGAAAATGAAAACTACATCTTTATTGTTCTTGGTGTGAATGGGCCTTAACTCTTATATTTTAATTAAATGCTATCTTGCCAGTAAAAAAGATAAAAAAGACTAAATACATACATGTACAAATATTGTATTGTTTTTGCATGTACATGTGTATGATCAATAAATGTACGATTTTTGGAAATATAACAATTCTGTCAATACTGACAACTCTATTAATATCTCTCTGAAACTGGCCTGAGCCATCATGTGATTCTTAATGTTGAGCCCTGCTCTCACTCAAACACGCACATACTCTACCATTCAAATGTTTGGAGTTGGCACAACTTTTTCTGTTTGTTTTTAAAGATTCTTATGCTCACTAAGGCTTCATTTAACCTCTTACCTCTTCTCCTGGACCTCCTGGATGTTCTCAATGCCGATAGCACTGCTACGTCGAGAGCTAAAGGGTCCTGACTTTTTCCTAGTTGGGCTTTTTCCAGGAATGATCAAAGACTGTAGGAACAAGAACAAGAAGATCAGTGAGCCAAGGATTCAAACAGACACGCCTTCACACTCTGATGGTCACCATGTGGTCTCAAAGGAAACTTTAAGGATAATAGATCCTCTATAGGTCAGGTCTATGTTAAACCACTTGCAATTGTAATCTATTATTTCTTTTATCTGTGGCGTGCTCCAGTCTTTTTGAGAACAAAAGACACTGTTTCGTATCTTGACTGGCAAGGTGGATGTGAAGTGTGTGCTTGAGGGTTTTGGCCTGAACTGAGATGAAAGATGGGAGCAGGATTTTCTGAGCTTCACTGGGCGCTGTGCTCTCGCTGGGGACACTTTGTTCTCTTCAAGCCTGAGTGCTGGGATTTTACAGCTACTGCTTTATGACTTCAAATGAAAGAACTTCAAAAAGGTTTTTATCTAAAATGGCTTCAAAGGCTTCGGAAAGACTCTGCTGCCTTTTTCCTTTGTGTTTCTATGCTATTAGCTCGCAAAGAGTGTACAATTATCAAATGAGGGGACAGAAATACACCGGATAGTACATACTACTACACAACAAGAAGTAACATTGGACATTAAAAACGCAGCAGAGCGATGCATTACTTGCAGGAAGTGATGCTGAAAGGGGAGCTATGACTTTTCACCATGAACATACACACTGAAACAATGCTGCTACACATAGATGTACATGGATCATTTTAACAGTGGCAACGGATATAAAAATGTGCAATATGACTTTCTGACTGAACAATGCTTAAGTGTAAGACCTGATAGTATGGCATGAATATCTGCTTGGATAGCTGTTAAAATGATGGATGCACAATATATTTGTTTCACATCAGTTATCGGCCAATAATAAAGATATTTTATCATTAATGGCCGATATTGGATATTTAATTGTGCATGCCCATTTCCTCTGCTTTTACGGAAGAACTTTGCCATCTTTTAAAGCTCACTTAAAAGTTCATCTTTACAAAATACTAATAATTTTAGTTAATAATTTAACACTTTAAATGTAATACTTGGCAAAATTAATCTCAAAATGAATAGTCACCTAAATTCACTTTAGCTTTTAAAATGATTGATTTTAGTTTTATATTTAGTATTTTTATTTGTTTAGGCAAAATATTGAATTTTAAATGGACAATTTATCAGTTATCGGCCACATTTTATTATTGCAATAAATAAAAAATACAATGTAAAAATAATTTAAAATGAAAAAAAAAAAAAAAAGATATCATTACAATGTTAGATGAAGACTTGTAGATGTTGTCAGGGTAAAATGCCATATTTGATTGAAAACAATTAAAAACTGCTGTGAAATTTATAAATATGTTTTTGTCTTTTTTTATTAGTTTTTGTTTTAAATATGTCTATATGTTTACTTCGTTTTAGTTATTTTACTATATCAAATTAAATTAACTGAAATTTGAAACCAAATGAAAATTTTTTTTGTAATGAAAGTAATGAAAGCCTTTTTATGGATTTAGTTGTAGTTAACTACTGTATAATAACCCTGGAGTAAACATTGTTTGTTCAATGGGTGTATTATTGTATACACTAGTGTCAATCTTTCTGTTAACATGCGGTGAGAACAAATGATGCATATGAGGAGAGAAGAGTGAGAGTTATACATGAACCTCTTCTATGGTTCCTATTCCTATGGCACTGCCACGACGTCCATATTTACTTGGGCTTTTGCCGGGGACAAGCAATGACTGCACAGAGCCCACAGAGAAAGAGAGAGAGAATGAGAGAAATCAGGAGTCCATGCAGTAGGTTATGTGTTATACAAACAAAGTAGCCTACAAACATCTGCTGGAGAGACAGTCATCAAAGCATGAACAGCAAGAAAAAAAGCTGTCATGAACACAACAGAATAGCCACACAAAGAAAAAAGGGCCGGAGGAACCTCAGGAGGTACGGGACCTGTGAAGGACACAGCACACAATTGGAGACACCTGGACAGTTGACGTTTGAACACAGCTTAACAGTTAGTCAGGTTAACATTACTGGAACAGGTTAGTCAGACAAAGAAATTCATATACATCATTGCTGTTAAATAAGCATTTATGCAATGTTTTGGTAACTGAGCTCTCTTTAATTGGGCCAGATATCATGTTCATCTTGCAAAAATGCAAGCTATGCAAACTCAGGTTATATCATAGATCAGTGGCTCATAGAACTGGTGGGTCGTGATATAAAAATGGATTGGCCTGTTGAAGCCAATCCATTTTCATATCAGGGTCCCACATAGAAGGGGAAAACAATGACATGATAAAATAAAATAATACAATATTAAATATTAAAATAAAAAACTAAACGTACAAAACTTAAAATTTTACTATCCAGCTTATGCTATTTTGCAAATTGTTGGACCCAAGCACTTTGCAGTTTCAATTTGACTTTAAGGATGTTTTTATTTGCAATAAATAAATAAATAAAACACTACAATAAAATAAAAATGTACAAAAATACAAATAAAATTTAAACATTTTTAAATAAAAAACAGAATTGACTAAACTGTCAATTTTACTATCCAGTTTGTTAATAATTTTTGCATATCATTGGACCTATGCAAGTTTCAGTGTGATTTTAAAGTTTTTATTTACTTTATGTCATTCATTTTGCATATTGTTGGACCTATACACTTTGCAGTTTCAATGTGTTTCATGGATGTTTGTAATTACAATAAAATAAAATCGTACAAAAATAAAATAAAAACTACAAACAAAATAAAAATGCACAAAAACACTGTCAATTTTAGTATCCAGTTTATGTTAATAATTTTGCATATTATTGGACCTATGGACCTATTCAGTGTGATTTTAAAGACATTTTTATTTACTTATTTATGATAAATATTTTTGGTATGTGTTGGGTTGTCACTTGATGTGTAATGTACTGGGTCCTGAAGCAAAACCAGTTGAGAACCACTGTCACAGAGGACCTTAGTGGGCCCCCCATTACTGTCCATGGCCCTGTTTGTTATGACTTAATCACCATAGGGGGATGAATCACTAAACACGATTAATTTTCACCTGTAACCTTTGGGATTAAAGTCCCAATAGCTGAAAAATTATTTGTGCTAACATTTTGGTTTTTATTCTCCATTGCATAACCTGTGTGAAGGTCAAAACGTCCATATGACTGACATGCCATATGATAGTGCTATAAATAACAGAAACATTAACTGTGACAGAGACATGGCTCAGTAACTCTGAAGTCTGTTCCAGTGCAAGTCCCTGTGGGGAAAGTGGGATTTCACTAGACTCATATGAGTTGTGCACACAAGGGCGCTGGCATGACTTAGCATGGCTCTCAGTGTGTGACAGTCCCCAGGGCAAGGAGCAGCACCATAAGAGCCACTGCGCTTGAGCTGGCTGGCCGGAAGACGCTGCCTCTGTACTTAACCTGTGTAAGCATTATACTTACCAACAGGACACCTGCATATTAAGACATTAGTACAGCAGAATCCATTCAACATGCACACACATAAATATGTAATGCTCCCAGCAGGTCCTTATGTGGTGCTGATGTGCATCTGATCCTGTGGGGGATGCGGTAAGGTCAATACATTCACAACCATCTTTATACTAACACTGCCGCAGGCTGCCTTATCCTACTTCAAAATCAGATAATATTCATTCCTGAGGGACACTGCAAGGAAAATAACAAAATAATGTCTCACATGACCCCTTGTAGACTATCTGACAGTGTTTCACTCCCTCATGAACAACATGCAACACATTCCAGACCACTTTATGTCATGCACTTCTCAGAGGACCTCATCTCCACCATAACACACACGCACCTCCTGTGATCATAACGGGGGTTAAAGGAGTAACAGTCTTATTCGGGGAAAGCTCAAATTCATGTCACATGCTTTTGGGTCAATTACATATTTATACAGTATAAAAGTGTCCGCAATAAAGAAAAGGAAGTTCTCAAATATTTCTCAAATATTTATTCTTTGTATTCACGATGGATTTGAAAAACGTTATCATTTTCGAAATGAAATGACCTGAAGAAATGTCATGTGACAAATGCCATGCAACCATCATTATTTAGGGATTTGCACCACATGAACATTTACAACCTGAACTAATCTTATCTGATATTTTAAGAGACTTACTGATCTTATCATATAGTCACGAGGGTCTTCAGGGGTCCTCGCTATTAAAAAAATTAAACTGTTTATAATAATTAAGTAGTGAAGCAATTGCTATTATATTTTTTTCTTTTATTTATTTGTCTTTATATATATATATATATATATATATATATACACACGCACACACACACACACACAAATGTTGGTACCCTTGGTGAATATAAACAAAGAAGTGCTATGAAAATATTTTATTTTAAGAATTTAAAATGGGGGGAAAATCTTATGAAATAAATGTTTTTCTCTAATACACGATATACACAAAATTAACTGTACCCTTTTATTCAATACTTTTTGCAACCTCTTTTTGCCAATATAACAGTTTGAGTTTGAATTTTCTAATATAATGCCTGATGAGTTTGGAGAACACGGCAGAATGGCCATGGCAGAAGTTTCATTTTGTGCTCAGTGACCCAATTTTTGTTTTGATTTTGATGTTTGTTTTGGATCTTTGTCCTGTTGGAAGATTCAACCATGGCCCATTATAAGGTCTCTAACAGAGGCAGTCAGGTTTAGATTTTTTATGAGCTAAAAAGCTAATTTTTTTGTTTCATCTGACCATAGAACCCAGTCCCGTTTGAACTTCCAGTTGTGCCTGGCAAATGGCTTTCTGACCCCAAGATTATACTATTTCCTGCAGCTCTCCAGTTGTGATCCTCGGAGAGTCTTTGACCACTCATAATTTACGCATGACAATTTCTAGGTGTACCAGTGATTATGGCCATTGTGTAGAATTTTTTTTTTTCATAATGTGACTTTCCCTCACTTTAATTTTCTTTTTTATTTCAATGAAATATTAGATTTTTTTTTAATTTTTGAATTAAAAATTAAATGGATAAACAATGCAGACTTATTTTCACAGCCTTCTTTGATAATTATCAAGGGTACCAACAATTTTGGCCATGACTGTATGCGTATCTCTCTCTCTCTATAAAGAAATAAATAAATATATATATATATATACAGTATATAAATTATGTGTATATATACTTCATGTCATTGACCCTTTTAACTCAGGAAATGCTAACTGTTGCTAGAGCAGCAAACATGAGCAAGACCAGTGCAAGTGACCCTTTCAAGAAATGCTCCTGAGATAAACTTTAAAAGGTCCAGTGAATAAGATCAGTGGCTGCAGAGATGACAGACAGAAAGCATGATGGGAATGAGAATCAAAAACGAGGATAAAAAAAGGGACTGGTGCATGAGGGCAATTATTTATCAAATCTAAGTTGGTTGATTAATCATTAATTATTTCATTTTCATTGTGTTGCTTGTTTTTAGTTTGCCAACTCAGAGCATCTGTGCATGTGCTTAACTTTTAGTGTAGTCAGGAATTAGTGATGCATATGTAACCAGGACCGGTTTTTTACCTCATAGTGAAGGGAAGTGAGGGGACTAGCATAGTTTGGCCCATTGGAAAGCCAGTAGGGCATGGGGTTACTTACTATCCCAGGGGGTTTGGGGGACTCTGGTGAGTGGTGGTTGTTGTTGTGGGTGAAACTGCCGCTGTGACTATTGGAGACTGTGTACTTCCTGATATTGTGGCCCATGGTGTCCAGAGACTGGCTCCTGCTGCGGATCACCCGCTATAGCACAGGGAGAGATCAGGAGGAAACACGGTGAGCAGCGGCAGGTCAGGGTGGGCCAATGGAGTGGGTCTGAAGCCAATGAATCAAGTTGCTAAAATGACCCAGGAAAATACCTGAGCCAAGAGTGCAGTTTTGTTTGTAAAAGAAAAAAGCATATGGCCAGAGGGAGGACTGATGGTATGAAGTTAGCAGGAAGTCCACTACTGAAGCTAGCAACCATTAGAGAGCAGAACCGCCTGAGAGTGTTAATGGATATTGATCAAATATCACCCACTAAAGTGCTGCCCGATTTCAAGGGAAAATCCCAGAATGCCACAACCACAGATGAGCTGCATCTATGCGAACAAGTTTGGCTATAGACAGCTGCTGATGAAAACTGTTCGAATAAGTGGTTGCGGAAGCAAATATAATAGGTTAAAAGACAGATAATGAAAATGATTTATGAGAAGACTGATTGATTTTTCATGACTGGATGACCACAATCAATGTGTGAACACCAATGAACACTTTCAATTATAAACCCGGCTCCCAAGCACATACAAACAGTCTGTCTGTAATGAATTATAGCTATGGAAAATTCAGTCTACTTGAAAAATGACCTCTATATACTCATCAGGCATGATGCTGCATATTACAGAGAAATATTTGTGTACAGTATGTTGTGTATGATGAATCATGTACTAATGATTAATTTGCAAAGCATTTTAGGAAGCAAAACACTGTAGAGCACAAGATAAATCTCATGAGTGCATCTATGCTCGACAATGTGCTAACAGGACTAATTAGTGCTAATTACGGTAATGAGTAATTTAATTTAGGTAGCATCGGTTACATCACTTGGAAGTTGGAGTCATAAAGACACCGTTCTCTAAATCCCAAGAGAGAAAAAATGCTACCATTCGTAAAGAATAATAGCAGCAAGATAAAAAAAGACCAGTCTGAACCAGAGTTATTATCATCATTAACTGAAACTAAAACTAAAATGTAAACTTATTTTATTCCAGTTGAATTTTTTTTTGTTTCGTTTAAGTTGAAGTACTAAAATAACTGAACCTAAATTAAATGAAATCTAATAACTAATACTAAATAGACATATTAAAAACAGAAACCAATAAAAATGATAAGTACAACAAAATTACTAGAACTTTAAATAAAATGAAAAGAGAAAAATAAAATAACATCTTATTTAAAACTATAAAAACTAAAATATAATATTACATATAATGTTATATAAATATAACAGTATATAATGATATAAAATAACAATAATAAAATAAAATAAGTAAAATTACACCCTATAGACTGCGCCATCTAGAGTTTCATGCCAGAACTCTGTATTTGGAAGGAGAGGAAAGTCTTTTCCTCTCTTTTCCGTTTTCGTTACAAGCAATACCATTTAAAATATATATTTCTTAAAAACACATGAATACTTTTATTCAGCAAGGATGCATTAAACTCATTAAAAGTAACAGTGACAGGCATTAAAATATTACAAAAAAACTCTATTTCAAATAAATGCAATTGTTTTGAACGTTATATTTATAAAAGAATCCTGAAAAAATGATCACCGTTTCCAGCACAACGGTTTTCAAAATAATAATATTAATTGTTTCTTGTGCACCTAATCAGCATATTAGAATGATTTCTAAAGGATCATGTGACACTGTAAATTCAGCTTTGCCATCACTGGAATAAATGACATTTCAAAATATATTAAAATAGAAAAATAATTATAAAATTAATTATATTTTACAAAATTACAGTTTTTATTGTATTTTGATCAAATATATGCAGCCTTTGAACTGAACATAACTGTATTTAGCAGATAACCCCCCCCCCCCCCCCCCCCCCCACCCCCCTTCA